CGCCCGAGGCTGAAAGGGAAGGGGGGCGCCAAAAAGCGCGGGGCATGCTGGTCATTGTAGTCCAATCCATAGTAGCTGAGGGCCATTGGACTACAATTCCCAGCAGGGATCGCGCCAGGAGTCGCAGATGCAGTGGTGTGAAGGGGCGCGACCCTTGCTGCCAGTTGACTGCTTTATGGCTAGCGGCTCACAGTCTGCACCTGCGGCCACGGCGGGCCGCGCTTTTCCTCATTTGTAGAGTGGGGATAGTGGCTTTGGCCCCGCCTAACACTTCGGACGTTCAGGGAGACGCAATGAGATCCATCCTGGGAAAGGCATTGCAAACTATGGGCTAGAGGGTGGCATTATGACTATTTTTATCCTTAGGGATGTCCTTTTTAAATATAGCTGATGCCTGTTCTGTGCAAAGTGTATGTTCGGTCCTGGACAGGTTTTGGTGATGTCGAACCTAACCCTAGGGAGAACCAAGAAAATAAGAAAGTGAGAGATATATGTGGTTAGAGGGCGTTTCCTCTGGCATAGCTTCATTAGAGGGACCGATAGGAGTCAGGGGTAGAGAAAGAAGAAAAAGGCAGGTATTGGAGCTGGCATTAGATCCCCTATCTTTGCTGTTCCTTATCCTTCATTCATCCCATCCTACTCCAGGGCCCCTCCGAGGCTTTTCTCCTCTCCTCCACCCCATTCGTTTCCTTGGCCCATTCCCTTCTTTTCTGAAGGACCAGGCCCTAGGAGATTAGTAAAAAGGAAATGAAGAAATATTCCTGCTTTTCCCCACCCAGGTTTGTATGGGACCTAGCAAAGAATAAAAGGAATTCTTCATAGGTGGATAGGTCTGGTGTCACTGACTCATCCCTGCAGGTGAATTGGGATGGCCAAAAATCAGGTCTGCAAAAGTGAGAAATGATCATGTACATCCCCAAATAAAAAATTACCTAGAATTCATTGAGATCTTACTCAGGAAGACCAAATCAGTTATGTCAATTATGATATCAACCAAGAGTTACTTAGGTAGTTGGAGTGGAGTGGGGAGATGTACAGCCCTAGACACAAACTGAAAGGGTGAATGCCTTCAGTGGCATGCAGTTCCATCCCTTCCCTGCAGTCCTGGCCCTGGGATATATGAGCATCACTGTGTTCCCAGAAGGCTGGGTCCTGAAGAAGCCACTTGTGCTCTTCAGACAAGGGGTCTGATCAGGGACATCCTTTAGGTGGTTGAATATAAGAAGGAAGTGTATTTGGTTTAGGGAGGCTAGACAGACTGATCTAGAAGATGTACAGGGGAAGGTGGAATATGTCTTGAAGTCCAGGGGTATAGGGCTAAGGTCTGGAGGTACTCGAAGATGTCAGAGTACCATGAAGTCAGAGGTATCGGTTGAGAGTGGGGGTACTAGAGCATTGTAGGGGAAATTGGATTGAGAAGGGGTGCTACAAATTATGGGGCTACTTAGGAGTAGAGTCCAGGTTCAAGAATGCTGGACAAGATTTGGGAAGCTGGGGCCTCTTGAAAATGTCTGGTACCTCAACAACCTTTCCCATCATCCTCTGAAACCTCACTTCCTCCTCTTCTAGATGGCTCATTTACTCCTAGATCAGTAAACAATGGTTTAGCTTGCGACCTTCTCAGGTGTTGCCATGCACAAATATCCTAGAGCTCATTTACACCTCAATTAACACCTCTGGATAAATTTTTCTATGACTATATCACCAGGACTAACTTAGAACTCCAAACCTCAACACTTAGAACACTTTTGTGCCAGTTTTTGCTTAAGCGTGCCAACCACACAACAAAAATAATTCCCACTGTCAAATTCAATCTCTGTGTTTGGTAAAAGTGGAAGCTGTGGGCTCAACAGCCTCCAGATAGAGGTGCCAGGGGAAAGCAGGAAGAGTGAGAGCACCTGGGAAGGAAATAAAGGACAAGAACTTGGCAGTTCTCAAAGAGAGGAAGGTAGGTGCAGAAAGAAATTCAAAGAGGTAAGGACATCCACAGACCCAGGGGAAACTGCTGAGCAGAGGCACACAATGTTTTCCAGCAGATTCAAATAGAATTGAGTAGTACTAGCCTGGCTTTGGGAAACTGTGTTCTAGACCTAGGCTGGGGACCCTGCAGTGACTCTTTACCTGCTAAACCATTTTACCTAGAGACAGCCTCGAATTTCTATCAGTTTTCTCTTCTCACTTTTAGAAAAACTTGTTAAACTGTAGTGAATTTTTTCTGGTGATACTGAGGTTTGCCATGTGCCCTATATGATTGAGTTGCTGCCCCATCTAGCCCTGGAAGAAAGATACTGAGTAAATGATCCCTCTATTCAACTGGGCCTGTGCTCCTGAGCTGGCTTGTTGGTTGCACCCCCCCCGCATAGGATGAGGGGAGAAGCAAGGGAAGAACACACAGCAACCAGCCCACGCCTGCCACCCGTTCCTGCTTTGGGGCCCTTTAGTTCTGTGTTAGAATAGGGAGGAAGCCGTCTTCTAAATGGCCACCATCCTGTTGTCTAGACATAAAGGAAGAGATGTGGTCTCAGGGAAGCTGCAGGGAAAGGCTATATATACTTGGATTTCCTGTCAGAGGTGGGGTCTTGTATTTACATAAGTAGTAGGATCCTCCAGCTGAACCCTGTCTAATATAATTTACTAGAGAGCGGAATTCAGCATTAAGTGAATTCATCCTCAACCCCTTCCCAGAGGGTAGTTACTTGGCAACGGGAAAATCAACATGGCTAATGTGGTATTGCAATGTCAGTTTCAGGGTAAAAGCCTTTCAATCTCATATTAATACAAGTTCACCCCATCTCTCCCATATATAAATACCTTAGGACTAACAGCTCATATTTGCAGGACACTGTCCAGAGTCAGGGGGAAGTTTGTGGCCTTATACTGAAGACATAAACTTACTTAGAATGAAGTCCATGTCCTTGACCTAATTAGTCCAGCATGATAAGCAGCTGAACTAAGTACCCCCGCAGTCAGAATGACAATAACAATTCAAACAGAATCCAGAACTTCTAGACATTGTTAGGTCACCTGCAGAGTTCTGTCCCAGTGATGGATTTTTGTGCTGGAACTAGCTTGGAAGTCATATGTTTTTTGCATTGTGGCTTAAATAAAATATATCTGAATTATTTTTTAAAATGCTATAGTCTTGCTGTCATAGGTTGGGTACTCCAGGAAATAGAGTCTCTGGGATTTACATGCTGAAGGTTTATTGGTGAGTGCTCCTGGAACTACAGTTGTGAGGGATAAGGGAAGCAGGATTAAGCAGAGGGAGAAATTGAGGCAAGGGGTCCAGGTCTTCATCCCTACCTCCCCGCCCCATCAACTGGTCATCAGTCAGCTATGAGCCCTCAGCAGCCAACACTCCCAGCAATTCAAGATCAAGGGTCTTGATCCTGAAGTGGAACCTGGGTGGTGGTACTCCATGTTGTCTGCTGCAATTGCCAGCTAGTACTTTTACTTCCCAAGTGTCTCCACGTTTACTATTCCATTTTACCTACCAAGTAGCCTGTGAGAGAGACAGGGCCAGGTTGGGATCGTTGTTCCACATTAATACACATGAACGCGCAGGAAAATCTAAGTCCAGAGAATCTAAGTCCCAGAGTCACCCAAGACTTGTCTCTGGCTCCCACCCAGAGTGATCTCTACTTAAAAGATTGTGTTCATTTTTTCTTACATCTAGAGTTTATAGAACTGTAAAATATAAGAACCCCAAAAGATAGTGAAGGCCAGGTACTTCATTTTAAAAGTAAGAAAATAGGCTCAGAGATTGGGATGATTTCGCCAAAATCAAGCTACAAGTCTGTGGCAGAGCCCAGCCTTTTGACTAGATTTCCTGCACTTAAGATCCAGTTGTCATGACCTCTGATGTGCTGAGCACAGTGTACCACATAGGAGTTACAGACATGAGCAGGTTATAAAATCCTCTGCCCTAGACGATTTTAGAATCAAGTAGGTTTCTTCAGGCCACTTTAATAGTTTCACTGAGACAAGTAGAGTGAAACTTTCTGTTCTAAGCATTCTCTCTCCTTGCAGAGTCTAAATCCAGAAAAAAATAGCATATGGTTCCTTCAGAATGGGTAATCTATGTTCTAAACTGCCATCAACCAGATGCCTGTAGCACTCCATGCAGACATATCCAGATGACTCTTCCATTGACTCTCCCCAACCAAGATTCATTTCCAAACCAGTGTCATGGTAGAGATGACTAAGGTAACTGCATTCTTATTCTCTTGAAACAAGTTTACAGTGTTTGTGAGACATTATTCTGTGTCTTGGACACAAAAATCATAGTTGTGTGGGGCAAAGGGAATGGATTTGGGTTTACGAAGTCACAGATCTATCCTCGCTCCAAACCTTCCCAGTGCTATTCCCACAGCTAGGACCAAAATGAGGCAAGTCTACCTGGGGCAGGCAGAGGACATTTGCCCTTATATTATTCAGCTCTCGTCACCGGAGTTTTCTTTTCTTTTCTTTTCTTTTTTGCTGCGGTACGCGGGCCTCTCATTGTTGTGGCCTCTCCCGTTGCGGAGCACAGGCTCTGTGCAGGCCCAGTGGCCACGGCTCACAGGCCTAGCCACTCTGCGGCATGTGGGATCTTCCCGGACCGGGGCACGAATCCGTGTCCCCTGAATTGGCAGGCGGACTGTCAACCACTGCGCCACCAGGGAAACCCATTGTCACCGGAGTTTTCTAATCAGAATGCGTTGTGCGTCCCATGTTCTCACTCTCCAGACTTAAAACTTCTTTACTGGTGACAGTGATCACTGTTTACAGCTCCTTTTCTCTCCCTTCTATTGGAGTGATTAGTCCTCGTCACTACTTAATAAACCAGGTGAAACAAGGCAGACCTGACAAAAAGTTCTCTCCACCTCCCAGGTTTCTCAGAGAGCTCCCCACGGGGGTAGAAACTTGCACACATGGCTTACCTACAAAAGGAGGCCCCAGAGCTGCTAAAACACTCTGTTAAGAAATACCCATGGGAACATAGACCTTAAAAGAAATTATACTGCAGGCTAGAAAATAATTTTAATGCAAAATAGAAAGGACCAATTCGCTGTCATTTTCCTTGCTCTGGCCCTATAGACTCCTCCTCCCTGTGACTTTGAGATGGTGGGAGGAGCATGCTGTGCTTCTAGGGTGACAGTCCATGTGGGAAAGAGTCTCTCATGCTGGCAGCTTGCTCCCAGATCTGGAGGAATGCTAATGTCCTTTAGATCTGGGAGTAGATGTGAAACAATAAAATAACTTATATCTAGTTTATTGCCTCTACCCATCCCATCGCCTTCCTTCTTACAGTCACAGGGAAGCTGCATCATCGTCAGATCTACAGGGACCCAAGGTTGCTTTTAAAGAACCTGCAAAATAAATACATAATGAGGATGGATGAAGTTAACCGGGAGTGGTGGGGTAGGGAAGAGGAGAGAAGAGCCTGGATCTTTGAAAGTATCTCCTTTCTGGTTAAGGAAGTGGAGCCTGAAAGGAGGAGGAGGAGGGAGAAGGGAGGAAGGAACCAGGAAAAATGCACCTTCTCTGCTGAGGGGCATCCTTTGCTGTTATTCATGTTGATGTTCTTCATGGAGATGAGGGTGATGCTGTCTTTCTCTCCATTGGCTGTGGAGCAGCTGGGGAAGGAAGGGAACATGGGTTATAGACAGAAGGAGCCATAGGGCAATGGGGGTCAAGGAATTGGGGGTTGTGAAACCTTTATTTTGTTGGTGGACTATAATGAAATGAGTGTGTGCTTTGAAGCCCCAAAGACTTGTGTTTAAATCTTAGTTTTGCGGGCTTCCCTGGTGGTGCAGTGGTTGAGAGTCCGCCTGCTGATGCAAGGGACACGGGTTCGTGCCCCGGTCCGGGAGGATCCCACATGCCGTGGAGCGGCTAGGCCCGTGGGCCATGGCCGCTGAGCCTGCGCGTCCGGAACCTGTGCTCCGCGGCAGGAAGAGGCCACAGCGGTGAGAGGCCCGCGTACCGCAAAAAAAAAAAAAAAATCTTAGTTTTGCAAACTACCTACTACTTGTGTGATCTTGACCAAGTTATAACCTCTCCTAAGTCTTAATTTTTTAAATGTGTAAAATGCAGTAATATCTGCCTTGAAGAACTCCTCTAAGAATTTGAGATATTACAAAAATTTCTACCATAGTGCTTGGCACATATAAGGTGTTCAACAAGTGGTTCCTTAAATAAGTACCTTCTTGTTTAAGGAGTATATCAGAATCCGAATTCCTGCACTTTTCACGAAGGGGTTATAAAGACTTAGCCTTGGGGCTGAAGCGTTCCAGTCCATCACCTGCCCGAGCCCTGGTCTCGGTGAGGCTGTCAGGATTCTGTGTGTGTGTGTGTGTGTGTGTGTGTGTGTGTGTGTGTGTGTGTGT